ACCAACACTTATATACTTAATATATTAATAGGTACTCAGTAATGAACCAACACTTGTATACTTAATATATTAATAGGTACTCAGTAATGAACCAACACTTGTATACTTAATATATTAACAGGTACTCAGTAATAAACCAACACTTGTATACTTAATATATTAACAGGTACTCAGTAATGAACCAACACTTATATACTTAATATATTAATAGGTACTCAGTAATGAACCAACACTTGTATACTTAATATATTAACAGGTACTCAGTAATGAACCAACACTTGTATACTTAATATATTAACAGGTACTTAGTACATCAACCAACACTTATATACTTAATATATTAACAGGTACTCAGCAATGAACCAACACTTATATACTTAATATATTAACAGGTACTCAGTAATGAACCAACACTTACATACTTAATATATTAACAGGTACTCAGTAATGAATCAACACTTACATACTTAATATATTAACAGGTACTCAGTAATGAACCAACACTTACATACTTAATATATTAACAGGTACTCAGCAATGAACCAACACTTATATACTTAATATATTAACAGGTACTCAGTAATGAACCAAGACTTACATACTTAATATATTAACAGGTACTCAGTAATGAACCAACACTTGTATACTTAATATATTAACAGGTACTCAGTAATGAACCAACACTTACATACTTAATATATTAACAGGTACTCAGTAATGAACCAACACTTGTATATTTAATATATCAACAGGTATTCAGAAATGAACCAACAATTATATACTGAATATACTAACAGGTACTTAGTACATCAACCAACACTTATATACTTAATATATTAACAGGTACTCAGTAATGAACCAACACTTATATACTTCGTCATTTTATTTAAGATTCATTAAAATGTTTTACATAAGCATGTAACTTTTTAGATTTATTTTGTGTCCAGAGATTGTGAAAACATTTTTGTTGAACTTTTACTTTACATTAAAAGTCCTCCAGCAAGTACAGAATGTTTACAACACCATTATAACTTTATGGTGACATGGGCTGCAAAACAACTCATAATAGCTCATACTGGATTATTCTTGGTGGCACTGTAGCTTGCTGAGGCTGCCCCAAAATGTGCTTCATCCTCTCCTGTAGGACCTACCCCAAACAAACAATGCTTAATGTTTAAAAGCTGGTTCATTTCTAAATACTATAATACATGCCTCAATCTTTTGTCTAGCCCACATCAACTCCTCACTGGCACTGACTGGTAACAAATACCATATCACCACAGAATGAAGAAAGACAGATTGACTCACATGTGAGTGAGTATATAACAATTTCAGAAACACAAGAAGTTAAGATATCATATATAACTACACACCACACTGAGATCTAACAGTAAGTTCAGTTCTCAAGTTTAAATAAATTAAACCACACATACAAAAGGTGCCTTTACACTCCTGTACAAACATACAGATGAGAAGTTTATAAACTAGAGGCATGAAACTGTCAAGTGTAATAAACTGTATTTACTATATTGATGTACATGAAATTTCTATATATTCATTCTAGTAATATCTTTAAACAATATTTCAAGTTTAACAGTTTTTAATATTCTCAGTACAGTTACTCTTTTGTAAGGAAAACACATCTGTGAAGTTAGGTGTTACCTTCATTTACAACTGTGATGTGGAACACACATCTGTGAAGTTAGGTGTTACCTTCATTTACAACTGTGATGTGGAACACACATCTGTGAAGTTAGATGTTACCTTCATTTACAACTGTGATGTGGAACACACATCTGTGAAGTTAGATGTTACCTTCATTTACAACTGTGATGTGGAACACACATCTGTGAAGTTAGGTGTTACCTTCATTTACAACTGTGATGTGGAACACACATCTGTGAAGTTAGGTGTTACCTTCATTTACAACTGTGATGTGCAACACACATCTGTGA